GAGGTAGCCAGTGTTTCCTGTTGTTTGTGTGGGTTTTTCACATGGCAACGGCAGAGAGAAATTTTTTTTTTCTTTTTTTTTTTTTTTTTTTGAGGAAGAACATGACTGACACTTCATTTGGAGTCATAGAGAGCCACAGTCTGGTGGCAATGTGGAAAATGCAGCTGCGGGTGATTTCCAAGGTGGAGGACCTGTCCAAGGACACGTGTGGGCCCAGCTGCCAGGCGGGAGCAGCAGCGGTGCTGGGGACTCCAGGCAGTGCTGGGGGCACAGGCTGCTGTTGGTGACAGCTGAATCCCACGTGAAAGCCACCAAAGCAAGCTCAGAGTGAGGTAATGTTGAGCAGAGCCGTCTTGCTCCCCATGGCCCAGCTCCAGGCAAGTCCTGGTGTGGCAGGAGCAGAGCCCAGGGCTGCTGATGTCTGTCTTGTATCTAAATAGCTTGGGCGCACAGACAAGCAAGAAAGTGCTCTAAACGCAGTGAGGCTCCTGCAGCTCTCAGGTGAGGGAGCCGCTTTCCAGCCTGCAGAGCACACATATCCCAACAACACTACCACAAAACCCCCTTCACAGTGACTGCCAGGGCTTGTCTCACTAACGCCTGTGCAGAGGACAGGAAGCCCAGGACAGCCTGAGGAGACCACGCTGAGGACGAATCTCATGTAATGTACAGCAGCCCAGCCCAATACAGATTCACACTGACAAGAGCCAGGCTGCGTTATCATGGACGAAGGGCAGAAGCACAGCAGAGAGGGCAGTGCAGGCAGGCAGGTCTTGTGCTTGAGAAAGCACCCAGGAACTTCAAACAAGGTTGAAGAGAGCAGGCAAGGAGCTTTTATTCCAGTGGAAATGGAGATCCATTTGCTCAGAAAGCAACACTGAGAGCGGATCTTGGCTGTGTTTTCCTTCTTTCCTTCATCAAGCAGCAGGAGCACCCTAGGAAGCCCCCTTCAAGGTCCCCCAGGGGTGGGGGGGACCCCCACAAAGGCCCCCAGGGACTTTTGGGTCCCACCTGCACTAGGACTCTATACAACACCCACTTTCCCACATGTAACATGAGGGCTGTTTTGAATTCTACAAAGTGTCAGTTATTGCCAAGCTGGAACAAAAGTGGAAGATGCAGGTACCAGAGAAGATACCTCTGTGTATCACCATATCTGCCAGAACTGCTCCCAGTGACAAGCCTGTGTGGCTAACCCCCGCCATCACAGTTTTCCAGTCCTTCCCCCACCTCAGTTCAACAAAGAACAAATTTATTCCAAAGCTGTAGCTGGGCCTCCAAGCAGTTTGCCTTGTAAGTTACTTGCTTAACTTCTCAGGGGTACTTTGCATTAAATATAATTACCTAAACACAGGACACTTTTCCAAGCATCTCACTTAAAGCGGGGCTGGACACCAGCAAACTTTCATTAAACTTTCTGGCCCAATCTCAATTTTTCCAATAATCACCAAGTCTTTGAGTAGTCCTTTTCAGAGAGCATTTATCCATTAATGATCTTCTCACTGATGTATCCAGGCATGGTATAGATCAAAAGAACCAGAAAGATGGTCAGAACAGCAGCAATGAACAGCACAATGATGTACTTCTTGTATCGCTTCCAGATAAAGAACACAAAGGTTTTCATGGGATTCACAAACCAGTTAAAAGATGTTTTTGGCCGGCTGGAATGAAAGGAAAGAAGTGTTCACCCAAGGGCCTTCTCACAGAGTACTCTGTTGTCCCATCTGCTATGGTGCCCTGCCTCCACCATGGGCCACCAGGTCTTTCGGCTACTTGACAAAAGCATCATCCAGGGAGCTTAATGGCCTGGCCTGCTCCCTCCCCTAACCAATCCCACTGCCTGAGGGAAGAGAAAGGGGTTCCCTACCTCACACCCTCCTCTCTTTCATATCCAGTGCAGTAACCACAACACTGTGAAAGTGCTAGAAATGCTGAGCCTGCAGGACAGCTTGCAGCAGAGCTGTTCGGAACCCACACAGCCCTCTGAGTATGTTTGCAGGGTGGGTTAAACTGGAGCTGCCCTTCAGGGGCAATGGTGAGGCAGAGCTGGGTTGAATAATCCACTGAGATCAGCTCTAGCCCAGCTGCTGCAGTTGTAACACCCACTGGATGAACTCAAACTCTGGGAACCCATTTGCAGCCTGAGTCTTGCTGAGCGCCTTAGCCCTTGGCCTCTTGATTCTGCTCTTGGTTCCCTGACAAACTAATGCCTTGCCCCTCTTCCCACAAGAGAATACAGCTATCCCTGGCCCCACCCTCTCCATTTTAAAGGTGATGAACATGGATACTCACTTGGGCTTTTCCAGAGGTTCAGGTTCTTTTCGGCCCAAACCAACAGGATTTTTCTCAGCCTCCTCCACAGTCAACAACTGCAGCTCTGCTTCTACCTTACCCTGGAGGGGACAATACACCTGAGCCACAGGCTTCATGTTGCTTCACTGACCAGCCTGCCAGGACTGGATCTTTATCTCCCAGCTCCACTGACAGATGCTCAAGCAATCTCCAGCCATTAGCCACAGAAGGAACTGTTGCATGCACAGAAACTGATTTCCAGGAAAGCATTATATTTACAATGCACTCTCCAGATTTGGCTGTGACAGGTCAAAAGGAAGCAGGACTGTTTGTCCTGTCAAGACAGAAGTGAAACACTGTCTGCTCACCTCTGCCAGCACCTTGTCTTACCGTCAGGAGGTACTTGTTCCCGCTGGGGTCTGTGAACTGAACGTCTTCTGGTTTGACTGAGCTGCTCCACTTCTTCTTCCTCTTCTTCTTCTGGTTGGCCTCCCTCTCCTCTCTCTCTTCATCTTCTTGATCTCTGAGTTTGATGAAGGGCCACCAGCCTCTCATGCGCTTGTTTCGGAAGATGGAGAAGCAAGGTGTGGCATTCTCCTTGGCCATCTTGATGGTGCAATGCTCTGAGCTCTTGGCTGCCCGCACCATATCATGCAGCTTCAGCTCAATGGAGCCTGTGGGCACACAGAAGAGGAGGGCTCCTGGTGAAATCCTGAGGCCAGCCTCTCAGACTGGTTGGCCTTGTTCCGGTCTCAGCCATGCTCCTGACACCACTAACAGGTCTCAGATACCATAATGGTCTAGCAGACTCAAGTTCCAGCTGGGGAATTTGAAGCTCAACAAGGACCAGACTAAGAGTTAGATACTAAGAGGCAGAAGTCACAGCTCTTCCTCTCCATTTTATGACATAGTCAGTCTGATTTACCTGTGGTACAGCAGGTTTTCACTCTTTTGCCATGTCCAACCCAGCTCTCCTCAAATACCCAAGCTCCCCTTTGCCTCCAATTCAAACAAACTTTAATAAGGAATTATAAAACCTGGAAAACTCATCGAAAAGTTCAAATCTGCAAGATTCTCAGTTCATTCCCCTTCTTGGTCTTGCACCCCTGTTCCCCTTGGAAGAAGCTGCAATCCCAGTTCGGCATTGAGCCCTTGCAGGAAATCAGTCTTACATACTGAGCTGTACTGGTAAAAGAGTAGCCAGCAGTTGAGGGAAGTGGTGTTCCCCTCTGTTCAGCAATGGTGAGGCTACATCTGGTTCTGGCTCCTGTTTTAGGTTCTTACCACAAGAAAAAAAACATCATCAAACTGGAGATGGTCAGTGCTGGAGAACATGCCATAGAAGGACAGGCTGAGAGACTAGAGTTTGCTCAACCCAGAAAAGAGAGGATGAAGGAGGGATTTTTTTGCATCTTCCACACCCTAAAGGGAGCTGGAGAACATCTGGAGCCTCTTCTCAGAGGTGCATGGTGAAACAATAGGAAGGAATAGGCACAACTTGTAGCAAGGGAAATTAGCTAGGGAGAAAAAAAAACCACAATGAGCATGATGCTGACTTGGAACAAGGGCCCAGAGGAGTTCTGGGATGTCCATCCTTGGATATATTCAAAGCTTACTCAGATTAGGTCTGAAGAATCTGAGCCACTTTGAAGCTACCCCTACTTGGGACAGGGTGTCTACAGAGGCCCCTTCCTACCGAAATGTTTCAGAGATAGTATGGTTCCAGAAGCCCTGGGGTAGCAGTCTTATGCTGTGTTCAGTCCTTGTGTACCACTACCAAATAGATTGCCATTAGTAGTGCTTCATAGAAATAAAGTCCTTTGGAATAAACTACGGAGGGACAATAAAAACTACAGAGGGACGATAAATCAAGTGAGCTTTATTCTGCCTGGGAGAGGGCAAGGTGAGAGTGCAAATCTAAGTGAGAGGAAGGACACTGGGCAGTCTGTGAGGAAGGACAGCCTAGCAGTCCTGAGGGGAACAGGTCCCAGAAAAGGACCTGACCAAACAAACATGACAGCTCAACATGTGTCTGGAGGGTAGAGGTGCACCACTAGACTTTGACCACTCCCAAAGAGCTTGGCCCCGTGCAAAATGCTGCAGTGCTCAAACAGGCTGAGGAAAGGGAGAGATGGACAAGGCCACCCCTGTCCTGGAAGGTTGTACCATACCTAGAAAGTCATTAGCTGAAATCCTGTCATAATCCCAGACTTGGAGGACCAGGACAGCTGGTTCTCTGAACTCCGATTCCTCCACAGAGAAGACAGAATCCTTCTTCTTGTAGGTGATCTCCTTCTCGGTTGGGAGATAGTTGAAGCGGAAGATGAATCTCCAGTTGAAATTGCCTTCCCCAGTCAAAGAGTTAAAGTGAACATCTGTCTCCTGCTTGTCGTGGTCAAGTCCCTTTATCCAACTGCAGGAGGAACTCAGTTATCTCCTATCAAGTCCCAAAGGTAGCACCACAGAGCAGAAGAACAGAGGAAACAAACCGCGGTGGGTGGGAGGAAGGGAAGGGAAGGGAAGAGGGCCAAGCTGTACCACCACCTAACCAGCATCTCTGGAGGCACAGCAGTCAGCACAGGGGTCTGGAGTGGTTCTGCTTATGGTGAAGCAAGGAGGAGTAGAGATTCAAAGGCAATGAGGGGTACGGGCCAGGGTAAGGAACAGGACAGCCAGGATCTGGCCTCCCCCTGGCTCCCATCAAACCTTTTTACATAGATGTCACTGGAAGGCTCTCCTGTTATTGGGTTGATGTCGTCAAGGACCACATCGTCCGTGTTCCAGATTATCACACGCAGCTCATAGCTGTGGGAGGGACCCAGGCATAGTGAGACGTGTGCTCTTCCTCTCAGTTCCTGCCTAGGATCTGTGGGCCAGTTCCTAGCCCACACCAGCAGAAAAGTAGGATCTGAGCTCAGATCAGGCCAGAGGAGTCAGGCAGCCCAGAGGAGTCTCTCACAAAACCTTTAATGTAGGGCTACAACCCCACAGGTCCAAACACCAACAGTCCAAACCAGCTGGCACAGACTTGCTGGCATGTGCAGGACTCAGACCTGCATCCCGCCAGGCACAACAAGGGCCAGGGACCCTCCACATGGGCTCTCCAGACCCAGTCCTGCTCCCATGAGTGTTACCTGATTGGCAGTCGTGGCTTGATATTGACAGGAGGCGGTGCAGGGACGTCATTTGGGAACATGTCAATCCACATGTGCAAGGAACCCTGACAAGAGAAGACAGAAGTGACATTTCAAGGGACAGACGACCTCTTAGCTCTTCAAGGAGCAGTGACTCAGTGCAGCAAGTGCAAAGCTCTTGACAAAAACCCATGAGTTTAGCTCAATTCAACCCCAGCTCTACTTTAACTACCTGCCTGCTGATGCTCCAGCATTTCAGTTCCGTATATCTAGATTTTAGATAGGACTCAAAAATATTAATAATAAAAAAATAGCTTATTCCTCACCCCCAACCAAGAAACAAAAACATTTTAGCTGAACTGAGTCTATTTCAAACACAGATATCTCACTGCAATTTAATAAACGAGCACACACAGATGCAACATTTGGGCATAGCTGAGAAAAGTGAGATGGCAGGTTTGATCCTCCCCATATGCATTTCCACTGCTGACCAACATCAGTGTGTTTGCAGAGTTCTGATTTGTGACGGCTCTGTGGTACCCAAGCGACCAGGAGATGTTAGGGCAGGATGCTGGGATGATGAGCTCAAATCGCTACACTGTATAAAACTGAGAGAAAGACCATTTCTCCTCCAAGCAGCAGTAACATCGTGTCCCTGGGGCATCCTGGGCCTGCAAGTGACAATCCCCAACTGATCATCTGGTAAAACATCCCAACTTTTACAAGCTGGAATGACACATCCACCCTGGTTCCATGGCAAACCTGTCACCAAGCAGCATCCCAGCTCCAGCCAGGCTGCATGGGCCAAGGTTCCACTCACAGCTGTTGCCATTGGCAGATTCTTGGAGCTGCCGCTTTGGGCTCTCTGCAGACGCTGCTGCCCCTGTGATGTTCAGTTCACAGCCTGGGAACTGTTTTTGCCATTTGAATAGTCAGTGAGCAACTGATAATTTACAGGGAAGCCAGGATCCAGACCACATGCTCCCAGGTCAGAGGCACTGGCAGAGCTGTTGAGGTCCTGTCTGGGGTGAGCGGAAGGACCAACCGTGTTATCCTGGGCAAGCAAGAAGAAGGGGAGCAGAACCTTGCTGGAGAGCAAGGAAGCAGTGAGAGGGGACAAAGTAGAGGAAGAGGCAAGGCAGCAAGGCCCAACTTAAAATGGAGGTTGGGAGGCTGGTGCTAGTGCCAGCCAAGGGAGCAGGTTCCACCACCAAGCACCATGGTTGCATAGCCCAGAAGACAGGGCAGGTCCCTTCCCTTGCCACCTACACAGTTTCCTTGTCAGAGCAGGACCTGTGACCTGAGAAGACAGAAAGGATCCTGGCACAGCAGCTTGGTGGCCACGGCATCAATGGACAGAGGTCCCTTGTAGGAAGGGTGCCCAGGAGCATCATGAGAGGTTGCAGAGTGGATCCAAGCCAAAGGCTACTCAAGACGAATGCTCCCTAGCAGGGCTGGCTGTGCAGAGACAGAAGTAGCCTGCAGGGTTCACAGTCAGGAGGAGAAAAGAGACAACAGGATCCTGCCAAGGGTCTGGGGACCGGCTGCACAGAAGGTCTCTCCCCATAGTCACATCTAGACTGGGTAAGGACACATCTTACTTGCACAAGCCCAGGGTTCTCTGGGTTGTAAAGAGACCGGACCTCCACATGCTCCGGTACCAACTTGTACCCATATCCTTGCATCTCTTCCCAGTGTTGCAGGACGTACAAAGCCTTATGTTCGTCATGTGCTGACCAGTTCTCATCTGCCACTCCTCTCTCATTTCTCACAAAGGCCTCTGCAGCAGAACACAGCCAGTAAGAAGAAGAAGACATCTCGTCAGCAAGAGCGACTTCAGGACATGAGCTGCAGATACAAGGAGGGGAAGGCAGTGGACTGGGTAAGCACCTTACTAGAAAAAAAACAGGGAGAAGCAGAAGGGCAAGGATAAAGGGAAAGTGTGCAGCATGGTGCAGCGCTGAGGAAAACAGTGACAAACAAGCTAAGTAAGGGGAAAGGGGCAGAAAGCAAAAGATTCAGGAGGTATTGAGCAGGCTGTGACCCTCTGGGAGGATTTAATTCCCCAGTTCTCTGTGGTAATGCTGGCAGACCCGTGGGTGAGCAGCTTTGCCTGAGAAGCACTCTGGGGAAGCATGACCTGTCATTCAGTAGTGACACATGGCCCTGTCCTACCCAGTACAGTGCAAATACACAATGACGTAAAGCATCAGCTCTTTGTCTGGAGGTCAGTTTGAGACAAAACCATTCCGAGCCATCCCCAGACAGCTGTGTCCCTCTGGAATATAGATGCCTTTGCGATGAACCTCAGGGCCAAGTGAGACAACTGTGAAGTGTTCCCCAGCATCAATTTCAGTTCAAGACACTGCAGCCTTGCTTGAACCAGAGCCACCCACCGTCGACTCTAAGAACCACTTGGGCTCCAACACACCCCTAGATGTTTGAGGCAAAAGTGCTGAAAGGATCAGCCTCCCTGCCAAGGCCCACGCATTGCAGGGCACAACAGAAGCATGCAGCTAGTCAGTGGAAAGCTGAGGAACAGCAGCACTGAAATGAGCAGAAGAGAAAGTCGGCAGGATATGCAGGATGCCCCATCTCTAGGGGAGATGGGCAGCACTGCCTCACAAGATCCAGCCATCCACAAGCAGGAGAAGTCTGCTTCATCCTTCACCAGCACATGACCACCATATACTTGGACAGGACCAGAGTGAATCACTAAGCAACAAAACATCACTGGGCCTGGAGAGTGCTAAGCATGCTGTGGATGCTCCTCACAGCAGCCCAGAAACCCTGGGCCCTACAGAACAAAGAGTCAGGGCCAACGGCCCAACCAGCCTCCCTCCAAGAGCAGGAGAGGCTGGTGGGTTCATTAGCTCATTCGCTGTTGAGCACACGTGGCCATTGAAGAGAGCGTAAAAGGTTCTCAGAGTGTTCTGTACCTTCAGGAAAAGCTTCTGGAGGGATCTTGAAGACTTGATTGTTCACTTTGACTTCCTCCCGTCTGTATTCTGCTGCAGGGAGTGAGTTCTTCTTGCACAAACTATCCAAGATCTGTGTAGGCTTGAAAGCATCTCGCCACATGTTATACCCACTTCTGCAGGGAAGACAGAATGTCTTCACTTTAGACAAGACAAATATTTTGACAAGGCTGTGAGACACCTCTGCCTTCTCTCCAGCACACGGCCACCAGATCCTGGCTTGGATTTTCTCTGGGCACTTTTCTATGTGTCTTTTCTCACAGGCACACAAAATCTTAACCAATGCTCCTCCTCTGGAACAAGACAGGGTTGTACATCATGTAATCATTAGCTTAAGAGAAGCAAGAGGAGCAATGGAGCAGCCAGTCTTAACTGGGAGACAGTGGATTTAGCAAATCTGGGTATTCATCTCCATATCAAGAGCTAATTCCTCATAGAGGAGGAGAAGAAAACTTGTTTGCAAATAAATCACCCAGAGACGAGAGTTCAACATGCCCCATGCCTGCCAGCACTTCAACTGCTTCATTATCTTCTGGTGGGTCCACTGCAGGGAGCTAACCAAGTTCCCCCAAAAAAATCAGGTCTAAGTTTTGATGGTGTACAACAACCACCGATACGAGCCAGAAGCACTAAAGTAGGTGTACCCGTACAACACATGAATGCCAGTTCAAAGGACGGATAAAAGTTTGCATGGATTGAGGAGCCTGCATAGCAGTCTCAGCAAACCTCCTGATCTGGAAAGATTTGGCTGCTAAGTATCTTAGCAGAGATGAATGTCTGCTCTGTTCTCCCCTGGGCATCCACTGATGATGACTTATTCCTCCTCTTGAGGTGGCTGCAGTCATGTTTTCCTTGTCTGGGAAGACTGCAGGGGTCAGCACAGCTGGCGTGCCAGAACCCACCCCCTGGGAAAACCACCTCCTTGGATCTTTGTCCTGAATTAGCACTGCTAGTCTCATTTTAAAAAGTCACTCTGCTTCGTTCCAAACTAACGATGATGCAGTCCTGTGCCACATGCTCTAGATGACCCTGCATGTGCAAGGGGGTTGGACTAGATGATCTCTAGAGGTGTCTTCCAACCTTAAATATTCTGTGATTCTATGATTTGGAGTTTTGCTCTAAGATGCACAGAGCAGAGTGCAAGTAGCTCCTGCCACTCACTCAGGCCTTCTCATAGCTGTTGTCAACTGTTGTCCTCACTGTACAAGGACAACAGATCTGCCAAGTTGGCTCAAAACATGCTGCAGTTTTCAGGCCAAGATAAACACCATCTCTTAGAACCCAACATGAAATAAGGCTCAATCTTGCACCAATGGACATGAAAAACAAGTTGGAAAAAACAGGAGGAAGCAGAACACAGCCAGAAAGACCTATCGCCTCCCCCGATCTCCTATAGCGCCTCTACTCCAGCATATGCTCCAGGTAACTGCAAAGCAACTGCTGCTCCAATCCATTAGCAATATGCAATGGCCCACATCGAAAGGGCCCTGCTCCTGCCTTATACATTGTTTTTCACTGCTCAAAGGGACATTGAGTCTGATTGATAGAGTCAGACCATGGTTGATTCAAAAGTCTGTAATGCAATAATAATAATAGTCTGTAATGCAATGTAACATTTGCAGTGTAACATTTGCAGGGTTCCATCCTGCCAGACTGTTACCAATCTGAACAACAAGCAGGAAGAACAAGGCTCATGGCACTAGCATGTCACTGTAGTACATACATGTCATACTGTGAAGCCACGCCACAGTTGGCCCTGTGCTTGCTGTAGAATCGGTTCTCCAAATCAATCTTGGTCTCCCCAATCAAATCATCTGATCCAAATAGATCATGGTCAAATACTGCCACAGTGAGTTCCGATTCCATGGGAAAGGAGACCGTCAGCTCCACAACTCTGGACATAAGTAGACAGGGAACAATGTGACTAGCCAAGAAGAAGGAAATGAACCACATGCTCTATTTTGTTCATTTTACACATTTAAGAACTGTGTCTTGACCCAAGGGACTCTATCAGAGTTTGCCTTCCTGTAAGTCCAGGGTATGAATTTCTCAGGATGCCTATTCAAACTGAGAGTTTGTATTTTTTTGTTTATTTCTTTTTTTTTTTTAATTCAGAAGCATATTCTCTTGCATAGAGATCCTGGGACTAGAGAAATTGTTCTCCAAAGCTCTTTTGCTACTTAGCTTCCTGCTTTGGTAAACCAAGCCTTTGAAATTGCTTCCCTCTTAACCAAAACACTTACGGCTCCTATGACAACCAGACACTGGAGACATGCTTATGATTTGTGTGTTACAGAACAGGATTCTCCAGAACCCTGAAATTCTGAATCCAGAAAAAACAAGCATTGAAGATCCCACATGAGGGGCCACAATGTGAGTCCTAGTTTTGCATTCCCATTCAACTCACTAAAGGAAAACCTCTTGCATACTCGCCAAATACAGGATTGAGCTGCTTTGGGATGTATCGCTCCTTCGTGTCCTTGTGCTCCTGCCCCACCGTCACCATCACGTAAGGGTCTGCCTTGCCATTGGGGTCTGCTGGAGACAGGTTTGTAGCCTGGAATACACAAGACATTCTGCAATATCTGCAGAGAGCAGTGTGCACATGTCACCCTGCACAGGCCTGAGACCTCCCAAGGCCAGTGGCTGGGTCTGGCCAACAGCTGCCCTAGCAGGGAATCAGACATTTGTTGCAAATCCCCAGTCAACAAGCCACCAGTGTTTCCAGTTGTTGTCCTGTCTACTTGCTCCCCAGTTGACTATCTCAAGGCAGATGAGAGAAGCTGAGAAGTGCTTTGCCTGAATTTTCAGCAAGCCCTGAAGTTACAACACTTGGCAAACTCTCAATTTCTTTCCATGGACAAGACATCAATGCCAGCCCTTTCCATAGCTCAATCAAGCCTTTCACAAGGGCCACTGGTCACTTTATCCAAGTGAAAAATGGCAGAAGAGTCTTAGGTAAGGACAGACTTCCAAGTATTACTGCCATTACCGCAAAAGAATTACCTTAACAATATAAACTCTCACGAGAACTTTGATGGGTCTGTTCCTTGGAATGCCCTGGGAGATTCTGTGCTCTTTGCCAGCTTCCTCAGTAGGGTAGACATGGAAGGAGCCCTGCAGAAAAGATACTGTGGGTAACAACAAGATACAGAAAAGAACATCTTAGGCTGGAGCCACTGCGATCAGCCTCACTTCTCGTACTGAGAAATCAGAGCCATTGTGCCACGTGAACCGCAAATACCCTCTGCTCATGGGGACATCTCTATCCAAAGGCACCATCAAGGAGTCCAAGGCCCATGTGGGCCAAGTATTCACTACTGGCAGGTTATCCTGCAAGCTATCAGACCATTGTCAACACCAGGAGAATTTAGCATCTCTAAGTACATGTCTGGATTGCCAAAGGCAGGTTTTTTTAAGGATTTTCTTAACTCAAATTCTGTATTTGCATTTTAGGGTCTTCAAAAACTCTTAGGTGGGAGAATGATGCTTCTTGTGGAAAAGTTTTGCTAATTTTAAAGCCAGTGAAGCTTACTAACACTTACTTGAGTACTGAATCTACTCAGGGGCCCCACTAGGACAAGAGTTCCCTGATGCTTTGTGAGAGCAGAAAAATCTAAAACAGGTGCATTATTCACTCAGCACACAACTCAGCAGTACCCTGACTATATCTCACCGCACCTTCACATCACCTTGTCACATCTGCCCTTTCCCAAGGCTTTGCTGGTGTCTGAATGCTGAGATACAGACTGCCCTAAAGATTTTATTTCATGTGCAGTACAAACACCATTCAGTACCTTGTACTTCCCCACAAAATGTTCATCCTCATTCCCATCTTCATCCTCATTTGTTCTGCCACGATGAAGGGGGAAGATACAGAGCCAGTCTTCAAAATTATCAAATTCACTTTCCAGCTCAGAGTTGTAGATCTGAAATAAATAGAAAGTCACCTGGGGCCTTTTCCTGCCATTTTAAAAGGAGGAGACTCACATAGATCATCTTCTGGCTGCTTCAACCATTTCCCCTGGTCCTGTCTTGCCCCAGTATCACTCAGTGCATAATATTATGGGTTTCCCTCATTCCATGTCCACTCCCAGATGTGTACACACATCCCAGCTCTTTAATCACAAGTCCTTCTGATATAATCCTTGGCTCCGAGGTCCCACGAGTTGTGTCAGAGTCTGGCAAGGATGGGGCTCAGGGCATACTGCTGGGTCAGGGTCTCCATCCTAGTACAACCCTCAGTGCAGGAAGGTGAGGAGGACAAGACTAGAAGGATGGGGCTGATCTGTCACCTCAAACGCACCTGAAGTGTGGCAATGAGTTTCCTCTTGGATCGAGTTGGTTCAGCTTCAATTACTGCCTCCTCTTCTGCTTCTATGTCAATGGAGGCTGCATTTAGATTTCCTCCATCTGAAAATGGCAAAAGGAGATTGGGAAATATCCTGCTCAGTCACCATTTCCATAAGAGCAGCACCATCTAGGACTATGTAAAGCTTTTGTTATTCTCAGCTCCCAGGAGCGCAGAAGAGCTGCACAGTGCCAGAGAGCTCACCTGCATCATTAAGGTCATCATTTTCAGCATCTTCCTCATCACTGCGCATCTGAAACACACACACACACCACATCTCAGAAAGCAAAGACTTCTTCTTCCAAGTACCCAACTCTTCCAAAGCTTTTCTTGTGGCAGTTTCATTAATATCTACCTCAAGATCAATGAACATTAGTATTATTCTGGAGAGCATCCAATGAGTGCCTTAATGACACACCTGGACGACACACCATTTTTCTCTCCTGAGCACATTTTGCTGGATTTTTAGTTGAGATCCAGATGGGCAGAGGGCAAGCAAGGATTTGAGATTTGTGGCAGACCTGCACTGCACGCTACATCACACCCTCACAGCCCACGCTCGGAAGATGGTCAGGACAGGGAGTAACCAGCACTGAGCCCTGCAATGCAGCTAAAATCATGTTTTCAGGAGTGCCTAAGCAATTCAAGAGCCCAGTCCCATTTTCAAAACCACTCAAACTCCTATCCTTAAAGATGTTTCAGCACCCATTGCTCACTGAAATCAATCCATTTGGTGCATGACTGATAGCTGACTACCTTAAGTATGTTTGATACATAAAAGCCCATGTCTTACTGCAGATCCACAAAGACTCCCATAGCAATTAGTGGTTTTGAAAACATCTTCTTCAAGCCAGTGTGGCCACTTTTCCCTTATGCTGACAGCTATCAAAAGAGATTACCTGGTTATTGAGCTCCTTTAAGGACTCATAGTATTTGGACCACCAGTCCAGTTCTTCCAACTCTGGTTTTTCCTCTTCATATTCACTATTTTTCTTTATAAGCTTATTGATAGGAATTTTCTTCAAAGGGGCCTTAAAGAACAGAGCAAAGGGCTCAGAGTGAGGAAGCAAATATACAGGACACTCACACCCGTATGCTAATGACTGCACTATTGCTTGAGAACTCCCACCAGAGGCTCAGCTTTTGGTCAGAGCACAGGAGATACAAAGCTACTTGTAGCCCTGGGTTTGGGCTTTGCTCACAAAGCATCAGTATTCACTACAGAAAGCAAGACCATTCTTCTCACTGTGCTAGAGTCCAGACACACAGCAATTTTAAGGAGCAGAAAAAGTGGATGTGAAGCCCTTCCATGACGCAGGAAAAGAGAAGTATTTGTGTCCAGAGAAAATAAATGAGAAAACTAAGAGAAAAACTTAGTTTTGAACTTCTGAACATTATTTTCTATTTGTTACTCTTTGGTTTAGGTTTCTAAACTTCAAAATTTGGCAGATCCAACACATCACTCACCTTCATAAGACTCAGAGGGTGAGTGCTGGGACCTGGTTCACCAGCTGACAGGCCAATATTTATCACAGCCTGAGAGGGAAGTGGTTGGGATGAGCCTTTCTGAGCTGAAATAAAGAGCGAGAGCTTCACATTCCCATATATTTATTTCTGCCCATTGCTTCTTAGTCGAAGACTAGTTATTAATCCACATGAAAACCTTCTCTCCTACCCCTCTACAGTGCGGTTACTTTCACAGCTTCTGTTAACAGAATATGCTAAAAGATGAATGAAAATCCAAGTACAGAGCTGAGACATAAGCATTGCTATCCATATTTCTGTTGTTAGCTTCCAAGAACTTTGATTTATGAGCTATAGCTTCTGCATTCAGAAATTACCACAGATGCCATGCTTATTTACATGCTCTCTGACCAGGAGGTTTAGCTGTTGCTACCCTGGACCTATTTATAGGCTCCATTACTCAACGGTCTTTGACAAACTGTGTGAGAGAACTAGAAACCTTCAACTCTAGCAGACAAGCTCACAGCCTCTAAAGCTTGATGGAAGTATCAACTGGGGACTGCTCTCTAAGCTGGTTACACAGAAGGTAGAAATAGATTTTTACAATAGTCTTTCTTGGTCTAAACATCTCTGCATCTAGACAATATCTTATCCCTGTGGGAAGTTTATGTCTAATACCTAAGCCCCAGCTAAATGACTTGCTAGTCTGAGACATTCCCATGAGCTGTGCCCCCTTCTCTGGTTCCTGCGTATGTGAGACAGTGCATAGGAAAAAGATCATGAGAAAGTGGCATGTCAGTGGGTTGGAGTAGTGTCCATGTGATGGGGAGGCAAATGATAAGGTAAAAAGTTGGAGAAAAAAAGTCATGCCCTAAAAAGAAACAGCAGTTTATCTTGAATTCCACTACTTGACTTCAGACACTTCCAAAAAATACCGTAGACTTTTTCACAGTGAAGAGCACAACCCACCTCTACTCCTGCTCCTGATACATGCTTTGCTTTTGCTGGGTATCTTGCATCTCTCAATTAAGGTCCTTAATCCTTGCCCTAAACATGAGAGCTTTTCCACTAAGCAGCTTACCTTTGGGTTCATCTTCCAGTTCCTCCTCGAGTTCTCTGGGAGAGAATTTCATCACATTGGACACAATGTGGGTCCCCACTAGCACAGTGCGCCCAAAAGCCCTCTTTTCCACTACGAAGATGCTGAGAGGAGGGTGAAGGTAGACCTGCTCTGGGAGCTCCTGCAGAAGAACCACATGGAGGGTTTGTGGGAACAAGGCCGATACTCACTGTGGCCATGCTGCAACTGGGAGGTCTCACAGCACTTCACAGCCCTTCCCTAAAACCAGCACTTCACTGGTGAAGGACCAAAGCTAAGGCAGCTCTCAATGGACAGTTTCACAAAGGCTTTGATCCACAGCTGAACCTTCTGGCCCTGAGAGAAGGAAGCCACCAGGAGAGAACAGACTTGGAGCTCCCTTCAGAACCCTTGCTCTGCACAGAGAGGCTATGCACAGTGTCAGCCAGCCCCATTCTCACTCACCACGTCCATGTACTTGACCAGCTCAGTGAAGTTGGGGTTCTCTTTGTAGGCAATGATAACTTCTGACTCCACTTTTTTCCCAGCACATTCGATGATCACCTGGGGCTGATCTACCTCGAACAAGTTCACTCTCTTCAGGTCCCGCAGGCCCCAGAACAAGATCTGAAGCACACAAAGCTGCTCAGCCACTCCACATGGGCCAGACTACGTGGTCTGAACCCCTGCCCAGCAGTACCATGATACCAGGATCCTCCAGCCTGCTGCCAGCCCATCTGCCCCACTGGACATGGATTCCCAGAGAGGCACAAAGCCGCACCTCATGACGACATGGCCACCCAGAATCCAAGCTCATGCTGTAGGATAATCACATGAGTTCTGGCACTAGAAATGTTTCAACCTCATGTCAGGCATCCTCCATATCTGGCATCTGCTCAGACCTCAGAGGTGCATTTGAGTTCCAAGCCCCCAGCTCCCACCCCAAGCCCTGCTGTCTGCACAGACCGGGCCATGCTCTATGCTCTATGCTTAGGGCAGCCCGGCTGAGAGACGGCCTGGCAGAAAGCGGCCCACCTCTATGCGAAACTCCTTCAGCACCGGGCGGATGCCCACAGGGATGAGGAACCGTCCAGCACGGGGGTCTCCCAGGAAGCCAGGTTCCTTGGGCTCCACATCCTCAGGCACTGCTGGCTGAACAGAAAGAGCCAGGACACACAAAGCCATGAAAGCTGTTTCTGCTCCATGCCATGTCCTCCTCTCCCCTCCCCTGGTGCCCAACACTCTGCCTCCGAATTCTCCTTTCAAGTGAAAGCCAGATGTGGCTTTCAACAGAGATTCTTCCACTTGACCCCATGTAACCAGCTCCTCACCTTGAATAGCTCTCCCAGGGGAGCTAGCAAAAATATGTAGCTTCCTAGAAGACTGTTACCTCCAAATAGCCACTGTAATCCAATTCAATCAACTCGAAAGTGGCAATGAGCTCCCCTGCTGCTCTGGTTCCTTTGTAGAAATCGAAGAACTGCAGGGCAGGTTTGCTGTATGGCTCATCAAGCAGCTTCACCTGAGGGATAGCAAACGCCTGGCCGAGGAACTCAGGGGAGCCCTGCCAGAAAGGAGAGAAGGCCAAAGCATCCCTGCATTATATCATCACATCAGAAAAAAAAATGACCACTGCTAATTCCAGCTGCCTAGGGCAGCAGAAGACCTCTCACTCTTGCAGGCCTCTGCTTTGATTGTCCTTGCTCCATCCAGAGCCAGAAGCGGATGGGAGGTGACTGTAGGAGCAACTCTTAACTCACAGTCATCTCTGTGCAGAACGGGGCAAAAGGGCTTAAACTAAGCACCAGAGAACTTCAGAGATAGACCAGGTTGTTCAGGGTCACTTTTAGTCAAGGTCTGAATGTCTTCAAGGATGGAGGTCCCACAACCTCTCTGGGCCCCTGGCTTGGAGTCTGATCACCCTCAGGGTGAAAAATTATCTCCTTATATCAAGCTATTTTTTTTCTCTTGTTCCAGTTTGTGCCCATTGCCTGTCATCCTGTCCCTGTGTACATCCAAAAAAAGTCTGACTTCTTCTCTACACTTTCCCATTAGGCAGTTGCAGACAGCAAAAAGATGTCCCTTTTCCCTCCTCTCTCCGAGGCTGAACAGACTCAGCTCCCTCAGCCTCTCCTTGTGCATCCAGCGCTCAAGCCCTGGTTGTCTCAGTGGCCTTTACTGAACTCACTCCAGTGTTTCACTGTCTGGCTTGCACAGTGAGCCCAGGCTGGACCCAATAAAGCTGCTGAGCTACACAGGAGAGTTCAGTGTGAGTCATGCCATTCGCCTGATGATAATAAACTCCAGGAGGTGAATGTGACTTCAAAGTACCTGTGGAAGGGAATGGGGTGGACTGAGGAGAGGCAGGAGATGACACCTGGGAGGAGTGGAGGTGAAACAGCAGCTCCAAGAACTACTCCATCTCCTGCTGGCTATGAGTCCTTTTTGACATAAGCCTGCCGAGGCTCCTCCAGAGGGGAGATCCAAGACCCACTCAGCTCTCACCAGGCCCTTCATTTTGCACCCTAACACCTTCACCTCAAGCTCATAGCAAAAGTCTGCAAAAACTCTCAACCTCAACCACAGTCTCCAAGATTAACCACTGAGCAGCACTCTGGCTAAGACATAGGGCTCTGTGTGGCTCTGAGTTCTTGCTCACTGAATCCATAGAGAGCTCCTCTGCCTTTCCTGGCCTAGAAACAGCAGCAGGATGGAGGCATGGCCATACTTACAAATTTATTATGGTTGAAGAGATTGACTATAACAATAGGGGTCTCTGTATTCAACTCCTCTCTTTTCCCATCAATAATGAGCTGGTCAAACAAAAGTAGCTCATTCCACATTGGGCTCAGTGTCTCCTCCAAAATCTGCAAATAGAGATAGCAGGCCTGAGGTTCCACAGCCAGTAGAACCTAAACCAGTTTGCTTTGAAAAGACAGTGAGGAAAGTTCAAGCAGACCTCTCCTCATTAGCCACACACAGCCAGTGTCTGGCAGAACGGGAGATGGCAAGAGCATGATAGGAATACTTAGGGCTGACGAGCACATGCCAGTCAACCTTTGAGACCATGTTCAATGATATATATGTTTTGTCAAATACTTCTTGAGTGTAGTTGACACTGCTTGGAGCCTACAGATACCTCTGTATCTGGAGATAAGAACCTTCCCCGAGGACTGCCACAACACTGGTTTTCTACATGGCAGTGAGGACACAGTAATTTGTCTCCAAGTGTTGTTAAGGGGTCTCACCCTGGTGGTCTGGCAATGAGTTGAAAATACCACTCTGGCAAATGGATCTGAAAGGCCATTGTCATCTGCAGGGAGGATTCCTCTAGCCTGATACAGATGGGCTCGAAGCTGGAAATAGTTGAAATCTGGTAGGAAAAAAAGGAGAGAGATCCACATTGCCTGACCTGCCTTCTGCCAGAAAATGAATAAATAAAAGCATAACCCAGCCAGGTGACAGCAGGCACAACTTTCAAGAGATGGACACCACTTCTAGAGATAATTGCTGCAGTTCTCATACCAGCACGTCTCAAAAGTTTCAGCCAAGCAAGACAAGCTTAGCAGGCTTCCCAGACTTCCTCAGGAAGGACATGACATGTGAACTCTGTGGTGACCTGCTGTGAGCATCTGCCGTTGGGGAGCACCAACAAATCTCAGCAAATGCCATGGAGTTTGGGTCAGACCTCATGCCCAGGGCGAGTTGTGCAGCATGCTCAGTTGGGCAGCACGCTCAGCGCCTACAAAGCTGCCCTCCTGCCTGCTGTTCCAGCTGTGAGCTTGGCAAAGCATCCTCACCAGAGCAAAACGGACCCACCTGTCCCAGTCATGCCTTGTAGATGACATGGGGATAGATGACCAACAGGTCACCTAGGGCATGATCTCTCACCTCTCTGCTCTCCTGCTTGCATTCAAGCAAATGGAATTGGGGGAGTCTGCACTCACCATCCCTGCTGAGCCGGCTGGGAGGAACGTATGCCGAGAGCTGGGCCATCTCCTGTCCAGTCTCTGAGAGATGCTTGAACTCCTCGGGCAACTCTGCTGTGCAGTTCTTTGCATAGTTAGTTATCCCAAGCCACATGTAGATTTCCAGTTTGGCAAAGATCTCACCATTGTGTGAGCCAGGGACCTGTGAGCACAGGAGGTTAAGCAGATTTCCCAGCCTGGCAAGGCCCTGTTCAGGCCATGACCACCAGCCAGCAATCACATGCAGAGCACAGGAAGCAGCAGTGCATCGGCAGAGGGCAATGGTAGCACAGGAGCTGCATTTCCTTGTAAATGTCAGGGAGGAAGGATGGAAGTGGGCAGAGAGAAGCAGCATGAAGCAAGCAGGAACACAATATTTTGTTACAAACTCTACCTTCAAAAAGACAGTTTGGATCTTTGCACAGTCCTTGCCTTTCTCCTCCTCAACAACAGAGTAGAGCACATTCTGTGCAGGAATTCTTGCATACGCTACGCGCTTGTTATTGCTGAGCATCCAGACGAGAACATCAGGGAGGGTACACTGGGGCTGCAAGGGAGGAAAGGGAAAGCTTCACAGCAGAAGAAGACCACGTAGCCAGTCCTCTCTCCCCTTACACTCACAGCAAAAGCCTCCCCACTGCACAGAGAACAGCTCATTGTGCAGCACTTTGGATATTCAATTGCAAATGATGGGGCCTCACACTGGACACATGCTTCTGCATATCTCAGCTCTGCAATAGCTCCTGACCACATGTTGCTTGGAAACATTTGTAATATGCCTTGTTTTTCATTATAAACACCAGCAGGATGCACCCACTCCCATCCCACCAGGTAGAGTAACAGACCTGCTGAGAACTGGAGTAGTGATACTTTCCCCCACACCTTTGACAGGACCCCAAATGCTTATTCAAATTAAGGAAAGGCATTAAATTGTCATTGCCGCAGTGTGAGTGCCTAACATAAAGCTGCAGTTTGGATTCAAAGTGGGACTTGCAATGAAGCAGACACACAGATGGAAACAGTAGCTTTTTTTTTTTAATGTGTGTCAATACCCGCCCCCCCCCCACATATATATATACTGGATAAAGTCCTATTCTCCCTCTCATTTTCCCTGGCATAAGCGTTTTGTATTTTTGTAAAGAGCCGTTAGGGCTTCCAGCACAAAGATGTGCAGACGATTTCCTACACACACCACAACTCTTTCAGTAGAAGAATAAGCTGTTTTCAGTAGAACAGAGAGGCAGCAGGACAAGCTAGAGCCTTCTCAGCAAGTACACACCATAGATGTGTGATGTGATCTAGGCACAGACTTGCAAGTAATTACAAAAGATGCAAGTATTTTAATGATGTTGCAATGCCATTAACAGTGGGAAGTGGTTCTTCTCCAGCTCTAGGATCAGCTGCAGCCAGACCCATGTAGCCTGGAGCCAGAGGACGACTTCCCCTCTTGACAGTGGCAGAGGCAAAGTCTGGTTTGTGCTGAAGTCTGTACTCACGTACCTAAAGGTGTGATGCTGCTCACCTTGCAGCCACGCAAAGCACAACCTTGGTGACTATGACCGAACTCTTGCTCAGAATCATTTAACTTCAATTAGTGGTTCATGGTTTAACTTCATTGTTTTACAGTAAATGAAAGCACTTATTTTTTCAGAGTTATTTATAATAAAGCCAGATAAACATTAAACACAGAGAATCCCTGTTATTTTAGAAGAGAGACCTTATTTTGATGCAAGTTTGAGTTTGCAGAACGTGTCCAACATTGGTTCCTGCTGGGAGCCCAGGCAAGGCTCTTTTCCCAGGCAGACCAACTGCAGCCCCACTGCAGGAGCAGGGCACCCCAGGAGCAGCTGTACCTCTTTAGCCAAGAAACGTAACTTTGCCAGGATTCTCCTTGTCTCCTTAACCTTCTCCTTGACGTTGGCTCGGGTCAGCCGCCTCCTGACGCGGAGCCCCTGCTTTGCATATAGGATCTGAACAGAGAGCATAGACACCATTTGCCTGGTGTTAACCTGTGCCAGCCACACATGCCTCATGGGGCTGCCCTGGGAGGTCTCCTTACACTGACCACATCCATCCTGCCCCATCAGGCCCTGACCTTTGTTGTGGCTCACTTGCTAGATGCTGAGAATGAACCTTTATGAATCCAGAACGAAGCTTTTAGTGAAGGGTGCCAAGAACCAGGGACTCCACTGAACTCTTACCTCTGCTGATACCAGTCACTAATGGAAGTCCACAAACTTCCAGGTCATTTGGAGCAGAGAGGCATATAAGGAATATTTTTTTCAGAAGATAGTGCCTGGATACTTCTGGGGGAAGCTATATTACTCTGAACAGGGGTGGGAGATACTACAGTAAAATCCTTTGACTGACACTGTGGGTCTTAGCTCCAAGTTTCCCTCTTACCATTAGTTGTAGCTCATCCTCCAGCCCCATTTCCCCCACCACCATCACGTTCCACAGCTTACGATGTTGCGCATGATGTATTTTGTCCGACATCTGTCAAGGTTGTTTGGATGTGCCATGTTTTTTTTCTCTGCATTGAGGGAATAATGCCTGTAATGAGAAAAGCAGCTCAGGCTCTGCACCCTGCAAACAGCACAGCTGTGTGATCAGGCAGTCATGGCGAGTGAAAGAACAGTCTCAGCTTCCTCTCTTGCCTAAGGGCTTGAAGAAAAAGTCCTAATACTTGAAGGAACACCCAGTTCAGGAACATCATGAGACTGCTTTCTGTTCCTGACGTGCTTCTCAGGACCACAATCTCCCATCTGAGCTTGCAGAGAATCAGTCCTTTCCCTAAGGCGTCTTGGTTTCCTCCTGCTCATACTCTTCAACACAAGAGGGCAGGCTGTTGGCAGCCCTGGCAGGACATGATACCTAAATCCTCCTAAACTCAGGATAAGAAGTTTTAGGAAACCAGGAACATGCTAACCTGCACCCAGCTACAAATTCCTCCAGCACCTCTCGGAGTCCTTCTTCTGCTTTAGCCTTTGACCTTCTCATGAGCTTCTCCACATCATCTAGCCCCTGCTCCTGTGGAGAAAGCGCAGGTTTCAGAGAGCTTGCACCTGGCTGCAGGGTTAGAGTGAAATATGTCAAAAACAAGGATGCCTCAGCCAGCATCTCACAGAGCAACCACATGTGCTGCAAGAAAAGCCAGCACGATGGGCAGCACTGCGTCCCAGGGAGTGACCCCGCGGCCCGCAAACACTACCAGGCGCTCAGCCAGCTTGACAATCCAGTTGGAATTGCAGAGTCTCCAGGTGTGATCCTCCCAGTAGCTCCACACATACGTGCAGGGTTTCTCATGAGCCATGGGCAGGCAACTGTAGGACCTAAGGGCAGCAGGCACGGGCAGTTACGGCTGCTGTTTGTGAGCAGCACAGCTGTTTTAGCACATGCCAGGTCCCAGTGCAGCATGCGTACGCCCAGCATAGAGAGCAACACTTTGGCACTGTCCTCTCTGCAGAGAGGCCCTGCACCATGGACATGGTTTCAAGATGATGGATCTGCCTTTTGCCAAGGTAGCACACAGTATTGCTAGCAGATGGAGCAGCAAGTACCCAGATGAACGAGGCTGGTGGGAGCGTGCCAACGTTCCTTGCTGCTTGGAACGGAGCAGTAGGAACAGGCACAGCTGAGGGCTCACAACACAATCATCAAGATATTACCAGCACTGAAGGACAAACAAACAAACATCACATGGGAAGAACTCGCACATGTGCCTCGCCTGTCAAAGGTGGGACAAGAGGCACCAGAGCACTCCCATTCTTCTGCCTTGCTGGTACTGAGCCCCTGGGATGCACACTGTTAGTCAGGAAAGGGACTTCTACCATCAGTGGAGACCCAGGACCCTGCCCTTGGCCACCTGCAGACACGACGCAGACACCATATGGCCCAGAGGGCTAACGGGCAATGGCAGCCAGCTAGGCCTTGCCAAGCTGCAGGGTTGTAGAGAGGAGAAACACCTACACAGCACGTGGATTGCTGAGCAGCCTACTAATATCATCTGCAGCAAAAAGCCTGGGAAGCCTTCAGGACCAGGCCACGCAAGAGAGAAAGATGAAGAAGACTCACCTATCATACTCCATAGGCTCTGGTCTCTGGCTTATTGTCACTGATTTGTTCCGTGCTGCTGAAGTTGGGGCAAGGACTTCAACATCCAGTTCACTGTCCGAACTGTGGTCCAGCAACGACTGTTTTTCTTCTCTTCTTTCTCCCTTCCCCCCTTTTCTAGGTACTTTAGTCACAACCTCTTCTGCTTTGCCATAGTTTCCTTGAAGATAAGCATTAAGCAATGAACAGGTGAACAGAATCAGTGTTAAACAGCTAGCAGTGAGCTTGCTACAGCTTGCAAAATCAGAGTGCAATAGTCTTGCCAAGTGAAGCCTGTGGGAACAGAAACTGCAGCTTTGCCCCCTCTAACAAATACAGCATCACATGAACAATCAAAGAGTCTGAGAGAGAGAAAGGGAATCACAAGGAGATTCTTCTACAGGCCTGAGAGTTTCACCAGCACCACGGAGTCCCCATCAACCTACCTTGCACTGGGACCAGCAGCAGGCACTTGGGGACATTGCTCTGCTTCAAGCATCTTGCCTCCAGCTCAGCAGGTGGGGTCTGGAACCTGCTCTCCTGCCACTGTCACAGCTCCTCAGCATCACATGCCCACCTCCTGTATCTCATCTTCCTCTCCTTTGTTTCCTTCTCTTATTCCAAAACCCTTCTATTGCTTCTCACCACCATGCCTCAGGAGAGCCTTGACCAGCCTCCCCAGACAGGCATTTCACACAAATACTGCAAATCTTAAATCCCAGAAGAAATAGCCAGACTGTTAATTAGAACACTACACTCACTCACAGGCCCCATCCCACCTCCTTCCTGGACTGCTGTTTCTAAAGCACAAGTTATGCAAGGGCTGACAGCTTATGCAGTGCTAATTTAGGCTGGCTGAGGGAGGTTCACGGTGTTTTCCTGAACACAGGGTGCTTAGGATTACGCACCTATGGAAACTTCAAAACTGACAGGCTTGGAGCGGAGAGAGGAGTCCATCATCGTGGCTTCAAAAAAGGCAGCAAAGAGGAGGAATTCCTCCTTCCTTCCCAATGCGTTCTGAGCAAGGAGACAGAGATCAGCACAACAGCCCCAGCACCATGGCAAAACACCGTCTCAGCAGAGCTTCCAAGAGCACCAGGGCATGGTTGGTGGACACAGACAGGGTCTCTACTGCTGTGCCCGGCATGGCCAGGGGCTGCAATGGGGCTTTCTGAGAGATTTGGGAGGCTAATACTGAGGGATGGTGACAGGACCAACACACTCGGCTCTCGCTAATCTGCCTTTCCTCAGCCTGGTGGAGACCCAGAGCGAGCTAACAGCTCACTGGCTCCAGGGGAGGAAAAGTGCATGCTCAAGGGCTGTGTCCTGGGAATTGCACCCACACAAGCAACCTTTCTTGCAGCAGGAAGGTTGCTTGTGTGGAGATGCTTCAGGTTTGCTTGGGGATGCAGTTTTGGGGCTGCAGATGTGGGTTGGGCCTTGTAGAAGCTCCCAGAGCACTGGATGGGTAGGCAGGATTTGCTCTGGCACACTGCACTCATCTGCAGCAGGAGGCCTGCATGTGCCGCAGGCAGGCTGGCCATGTCATTGCAGAAGACTCACCTCGGGGAGCGGATGGAGCTCCTCCACTTCCACAGTGACCTCCCCAGGCTGCTCAGCCTCCTGGGAGCCCCCAGCCTCCTCCTCTCCCTGAAGCTGGATCAGCTCTTTGGCTTTCTCCTTGGATTTTTTACTTTTCTTCTTCAGTTTCAGCTTGCTTAGGGCACCCTTCGTCTTGTCTGTAAGCCTTCCCTCTGCCACGCTGGGGCTGCTGAAGATCTCCACTGTGATGGCCATGAGGATGCGCCCACGGTAGAAGATCCCTTCGCCCATACCCTCATTGAGGTCCTTGTGGATGTCCCGTAGAGTTGAGTTCTGGGGGGAGCCATAGAGGTTCACCCAGGCAGGGCCAAACGTGGGGTTAAAGCCTGCAGTGACAGGGCCAGGGTCTAATTTCACCACAGGGTGCTACTGCAAAAAGAGCCTTTCCCCCAAGATAACCCAGGACAAACAAATGTAAGCATGCTCTGGCCAGACACACTCCCATTTTCCACCTCCAGGAGACCAATATGGTCTAAAGAGAGGTGCACAGCACAGGGCCAACTATGCTGCCCTGCCCTAGGGAAACAGCCCTGCCAGCTCTCACCATTCCTGCCTGGATCTGAGATCTGATGCAAGTCAATGTAATGTGTGGCAAGGGCCACATCACCGACGTTGGCATCATCCAAAACCTGGACTTTTATCTTCTTGGCAAGAGGCGGGAACATCTCGATGAAGCTGATCTGCTCGTTCCATTCGGGCTCAGTGGTGCTGCCCTCCACTGATGTTTCCCCCTGGGAAAGAGAAGGTGTGAAAATTGCACATCCCCAACCAGTGACAGGAGCAAAGGCCCTCAGAGCCCCTCTGGGAATGGCACAGGCCCCTGCCCTGCCTGTGGACGGAGCTGGGCAGGCTCTGGTGGTGACAGGGTCCCTGTTCATGTTCCCAGCTATTGCTCTCTGTACTTCATCAAGGGAAGCTGTAGTGGTGCTTGCAGCTGTGCACAGGGCTGGTCTTTTCTGGGTGCAGCTCCCTGCAGAGGCCCATAAATAGCTTCTCATCCAGCCACCAGTTATCCAAGGCCACACAGCTCAGCATGCTCCCAAACATGTGGCTCAAGGTTTTCCAGCCTGTCTCCAGTGGGATTGCTATATCCAACAGGGGCTCCCAGCAGCATCAGCTTGGTGCACATTGTGCACACACAGCCAAGGGAGGACGGGCCAGGCACTGCGCAGCCCCTGGCAAACTCACCTGCTGACCACAGAATGAGACCTGCACATATGGGTCAATAAAGACTTTTTTCTCCCCTATGATCTTGGAGAAACCACCCATGATGCCTGCACTCATGCTGGGCAGGCCTTCAGCACGGTAGAGCTTGATGCAGACCCTGCCCCAGGGTCGCTCTGCGGGGACTCTCTTAGGCAGCAGCAGGTTCCTAAAAGACAAGAAGATGTTTTGGCTGTTCGGTGGGGCACAGGAAACTTGATGCTGGAAAATGAAACGCTCCAGCTGGCAGGAGGTTTGGATCCTGCCAATTAGAAGGTCTATTTTCCTGGTCTTCCCCACCAAAGAGGGGAAAAAACGGGGCAAAAAAGGTAGAGTGAGGAGAAAGATGACCATTTTCCCCATGTCCATAGAGGACTCCACTGCACTCACCTTTCAATGTCCTCATCCCGGCTGCCGGAGGAGGTGGGAAGGGAGCCCACAACATCCCCGCGTGCGGTGACGGAGATGCTGCACTTCACAAATCCTTTCACGCCTGCCCGAGTGTCTGTGGGGTCACTGATAACAGCCCACTTCTGGAAAAACCTGTGATCTGGCATGGAAGGCAAGGAATTTCCAGCACGAAGGCCCAGCTTACCATTTAACACTGCAGCTATACTTGCACAAACATTGCCCCAACCCTGTCCCTGAATGTGCAGGCCCAGGGAGCCAGGAGAAGAAGCAAATGCTAAGCCTCATGTAAACCAAGGCCTTTCAAGAGAGGTCTTTCACCAGATCCAGCAAAGATTGGAGGAAATATTGGCTTCAGATGAACCGGGGGTGGGGAGCAGGTGCTCGATGCCACCGGTCATACCTGGTTGGTTGTACACTGTCACAACATCCATTTTGAACGTCCCTAGGCATGTTCCCAGGAATGGTATCTTCTTTGAGTGAAAGACCTGCAGACAGCACAAATCCCCCTGAGCGCCAAGAGACACAGGCTGCCAGGCAGCACGTCCAGGCACATCCTTAAGGAGGACAGGACTGCTAAGAAATGCCTGGTCCAACACACAGCTCAAACAGCAGCTGCAAGCTCCTCTGCACACTGACCCATGTGAACTAGCACATGACCAAACCCTAACCTGGCTTGAGCCCCAACCCAGCTCAACTGTTCCCTCAAAGCCCACCCACCCATAGCCATGGACTAACACCAGGCCACAGCAAGTTATTGCCACGCAGCTAAGCCAGCTTACTCTCCTAGACCCAGATAAACCAAACATCCATGGGATAAACCAAGGATCTACCTTCCCACCTGGACTGCTCACCCCCCACAGCCTACCAGGCCTGCACAAAGCCATGCCCTGCACTGGGCCGGCCTCCCTCCCATAACCAACCCACACTTAGTGTTTGTCAAGCAAAAGAGAACTGCAGCTTTTGACAAGGAGAGAGCATCAGAGGTCATATGGCAGAAGAGGTAATTGCTGTGTTTATCTCTTCAGAAAAGTCTTGGGGAAACTCTTCAGAAAAGCCTCTGCACTTTGGACAGGGGAGGTTGAAGGTTGCCCTTCCCTGCATGCCTGCAAGGCCATTTCTTCAAACAACTCCCCCTTGCTCCTATAAAACCAATCATTCACCTTTGCCCCATGCAAGTGGGAGGGTCCTGGGCAAGGGCCAATAGGGTATCACCCCTAAACCAACAGGTAGCAAGACAATGGACAAAAAAAATGCCCCAGGGACTCCCCTTCAATTGCTGGAAGCCCCCCAAAAAACAGTATAGTTGCATTCAATGGGGTGAAACTGCAGGCATGCTGCCAAGGAAAGACAGGTCCCTGCGGGCATCTAAAAACAGACCCAGCAGCAGCAGTAGTTGGAGCTGTTGTAGGCTCTGCATCTGGTGGACAAGCAATGAGGTGGAAAGGTAGGGCTGTCTGGTGGCGGCTCAGAACAGAGCCTGGCTCTGAGCCCGGCTGCCTTGTGGCTTCGCGCCACTGCTGGTGACACTTGGTCTCCCCAAGGGCCAGGTGCCTCAGGGTGTAAGACTGGTTATCACTGGTCTCCTTGCTCTGCCCAAAGCTCCCAACACCTACAGGCGGAAGCAGAGGTCTGCACCACTTACCCAAACAAGGACAAACAGTGAGTCATGCTTACCGAAATCTCTATGAGCCTGTGGAATAAAACTTCCCTGGGCTCATGGAACTCAAACAAAAAATACTGAAAGAGAAAAGAGACAGAGTTGAACTCATGCTCCTGATGTGGCCCTCTCAGGAAAATAGCTGCCTCTGGAGCATTCGCAGCAAAGATGGCCCCTGTCCATCCAGGACACAGACACAGCAAGGACGGAGCATCTGACTGCAAATGTACCTCATTGTAGAAGGGGCAGTTTGTGGACTTCTGTGTTGCTGTTTGTCTTTTCTCTTCTCCAACCTTGACCACCACAAAGGGGTTAATGTTCACTCCCACTAGCTTCTGTGCTTCAATGATATTAATCCCAACCTGAGGAAACATAGAAGAAAACTCTCAGCTCAGTAGCCTCCTCATTTCCAGCTGCCTCTTGAGCTTGTGTGATCAATGCCAGCACAAGGGAATTTTCCACTGCAGCCCCCCTACAGCCAGGCCAAAAAGGCAGAGGACACTCATCCCATTGGGGGGAGATGCTCAGGGCAGACGAGGGCACAGCGCTGGAAGCTACTGCAGCTGGCTGTGACCAAACAAAACTGGTATTTGAGACCCTTTCTTTTTTTTTTTCTGCCAAGCAGAGTCCTTCGCACTGACAGGACAAACAGGGAGATGAAATGCTAAATCCCCAACACCTTCGAAGAGAGTCTCTCCTTCCCTACCAGCACATTTGTCCCTGCCCAGTTCCCAATCCCAAGGGGAAGCGAATCCACTGCTTCCGTGTGGTGCAGTCCACAGAGAGCATCGCAGAGAAGACATACTCTGTATCTTCTGTTGGTATTTCTCTTTGAAGAAAGAAACCTCCTAGAAATCTCTTTTGAAGGGAGAAATCTCAGAATAAGGCAGAAGACAGAACTGAACTCCGTATCCAAACTTCACAGGAGTTTCATATAAACCTGATGACAGAGCCCCAGCCAGACTCACGACACCGTTTCAGCCTCCTGAGACCTCCGAGAAAGCCCCCCACAGCAGCTGCCTACCCCATATCTTGCCCTGTGACCTCCAGCTGTGGCCACAGACATCCTGGCAGCACTGGCAAGGCCCCTGGCAGCCTGGCAAGCTGTGCCCTGGTGCTCTCTGAAGTTGTGCTGCAGCAGGGTTTTGCCATGGTGCCTGGGGCCATCAATTTGATTCCCTTCTCCTGGACTCCATAGCTAAGTCTATGGTCCAATGCAAATTCTGCCCTGGGCTGGCTGGTTTTGGAGCCTGATGCAGTCCATCCAGGAGAAATCTCACCCCTTGCCTGGAGAGGCTGCACAAAGCAAATATCACATCCCTAGTGAGGCCGCATCTGGAGTATTGAGTCCAGTTCTGGGCTCCACAGGACAAGAGGGATGTGGAGTTGCGGGAGAGAGTCCAGCGCAGGGCTACAAGGATGATCAGGGGCCTGGAACATCTGCCCTATGAGGAGAGACTGAGGGAGCTGGGCCTGTTCAGCCTGGAGAAGAGAAGGCTGAGAGGGGATCTGATCAGTGTATATAAGTACCTCAAGGGAGGGAGTGAGGAGGATGGTGCTGACCACCGAAAGAACTAGAGGAAACGGCCAGAAACTAAAGCATCAAAAGTTCCACGGGAACTTAAGGAAAAAATTCCTAACAGTGAGGCTGACAGAGCACTGGAACAGGCTGCCCAGAGAGGGTGTGGAGTCTCCTTCTCTGGAGATCTTCAAAACCTGCTTGGACGCAGTCCTGTGCCACGTGTTCTAGGTGACCCTGTGTGTGCAGGGGGGTTGGACTAGATGACCTCTAGAGGTCCCTTCCAACCTTCAGCATTCTATGATTCTATGAAAAGGCATCTTCATGCTAGAGGTCTTGCCAGGCTATGCGGCAATTGGAGACGCCCAGGGCAGTAGCAGGACACCCAGGGACCGGCTGTGAGGCCAGAGACAGCTGTGTGGACATGTGCCCAGCACTGCAATACCTGGAAGCTCTGCGGAGTTGGGGTGGCAAACAGGTCCCATCTGGAGCAATGTCTGGAACGGCTGCACAGAAAAACAAAATGGGTGAGCTGGTCCCTTCATCTGCATGGGGTGGAGAGTGCCTCCACCAAGGACAATAATTACAAAACCAGAAATTTATGTTTCCTTGACCCAGGAACAAGAAAACCCCCAACACTCCCTGGCCACCAGACTGGAGCTTTCTGACATTTCATACAACACTATGAGATGCCTGGAAATCAGCTCAGGAGCTGATGCTTCCCAAGCAAAGGCAGAAGAGGAAAGCATAGGACTATTACCTCTTCACAGGGCTGAAGACAATGCCCGAGACCTCCATCTCAGAAACATCGTAGAAATCTTCTTCTCCTTCCTCCTCTTCCTCATCGGTCTCCAGGCCTTTCACCAGCTTCCTGCCCAGCGCAGCAGCTTTCCTGTCCAGCTCACTGGCTCTCTGCCCCTCGGCCATCCTGCCAGCCCCCCTGTCATGTCACTCACCACATTGCTGCCCCAAGGAGGGGCTGTTCACTCCCCTCCATCCCACCGCTGCCCAGGAGGGTTAGCTGATGAGCTCAAGTATAGGTACTTACTCTGGCTCCTCAAATCCAGGATTGCGGATAATTAATTCTGAACTGTAAGAAACAAGATGCTTTACTGAAAACCAAGCAAATCACAGCTTGTCACCAAGCATATCACAGCCACAGCCATGATCCTGTTGGCCCTTGGTAGTGACATAAGCATCCTCCTAAAGCAGCTGTGCAATTTTCTTTTCCCAAGATCTCAGTACCTGTCTTTCATCTGATAGACAAAATCATCTTCCACCCAGGTTCCAGCTGAGCCATCTGGGGGCTGGTAGCGCAAATCCAGCTCAATATAGATCTTAAAACAGAAAATACAACCATCTGAGAACTCATCATCTGCAAAACACCTGCATAAATGTCAAAGAAAAGGGGGAATGGAAGCAAGGAGGAAAAAAAACAATGAGATGATGGTGGACAGAAGGCAAAGGGAGGAGGCCACTATTCCAGGAAGAGCCTATTTATACCAAGCTCTCCCTGACTGCCTTCATCAACAGGCTGGTACTAACCAAACTCCATTTCCATCCCTACATCCTCCCAAATTCAGGTGTTCCACTGAAGAGAAGCTGAACTCACATTTCAAAATCCAAAACACACCACAGAGAGGGCCCTGAAAGCCCCCTGGACCTTGTGCCTAAGAAAGCAGGGAGAGCTGTAACATGCAGGTGTGGGGAGTGCTCTCTCTGCAGGCGGTACAAGGCAGCTGGAAAAGCATCCCCAGGCACGTCAGCTCATTTTAAAAGGCCACAGTGGCAGTAAGTAACATTCGGAGTCTGCGTCACAAGACCCACTGAACTAGATCTAGCTTCCTCTCAGGATGGCTGGAGAAACATGGAGTGCGCTAGGCGTCACCACAGTGAGCGTGGCACTGCCAATAGCCAGGGCCGGGATGGGGCAGGATCACAGACCCAGCACATTTCAGGACATCTCACTTGTGGAGGGGAAGACCCAGGCCAGACACTTTGTTCTGCAGCCGTATGCAGGGGTCTTGCCAGAAAACAGACCTTTTCACAAATGCGCCTTCCTGCACAGCCCATCACTGGGCAGAGGGCAGCTCTCGCCCTCCCGGCGCAATGAGGGAGGGACTAAGGAATCTGCGTTAGGGATGTTACAGAAGCACAGAGAGAGGCCTCTGCAGGCTGGGGCTACATGTCCAGCATGACACAGAGACAACTCTGCATGTCCCTGGGGGACTTGGTGCTGCAGAGATCTTATGGTGTTTCCACTTGAAGCAACCTGAGTTTCCTAAGGGATTGCACCTGTATTTGTGCATTTGGAATGAGTCAGAAGCAAAACTTCTGCTTCCAGTTTCAGATCTGTGCCCAGGAGAAGAAATGCATCCTTATTAGTGGGTGAGAGTTTGGGCGTTTGGGTCTCCTAAAAGCCTACACATACAGGGAAAGAAAAGACAGTGAAAAGAAGCGAAATAGGAAGGGATGCCCTCTGGTGAATGTCTGCCCAGAAGTCATTCCTCCTCCCAGGATGAGGCCATACTCGCCGAGGAGCAGCTCAGTCTGCAGGTGACCAGACCAAGCCCAAGCCAATGTGAATACGGGGTAATCTCTCAGCAGAGATTAAACTGCAGCCATGGAGAAGGCCACCCACCAAGCTCTGACTGGCCTTAGGAACCAGGAAGAACAGCAAGGAGGACTCGCTGGGCCCGGGGTCCCCACAACATCCCCAGACCCTTCTGTGCATCAGCGACAGCCTGAACAGTGCAGGTTAAAACAGCTGCTTTCTTCCAACAAAATGCCCCTTCCTTCCCAGCTGAGCTGAGGGATGGGGTCTCAGCTGCTCGTGGGCAGGAGCCCAGTCCTGCCTGCACCCTTCTGTCCGCAGCAGCCCATGTGCAGCCCAGCTAGGGAGATGACCCAGTCAAACACTAACGTGGTAAAGACACAAGCAGTTGGCTGGACGGGCTCGTCAGCACAAGTGCTGGCATAAGCACAAGGGAAGAGGTGGCCAGGAGCAAAGGGACAGGCCACAGGGCAGCCCTGACACCTGGTTAGGGGATGCTAGCTGGTGCCTTCAAACCACTGCCAGTGCGACGGTTGCTAAAGGGTCCCTTCCCCTTTGTCAGCAGGCAACAAGCTGCCTCTGACTGAAAATCCCTGTGTAAAAGCTCAGCTTCCACCTGGATGTGCTCCCCGGGCCAGGCAGCTCCATGTGCAGCGCTGGTGGCGAGGACAGGCCATGCCCATGCAGTTGGTGGCTGTGCCTCGGCTCACGTCCCGCGCACGGCGCCGCCGGCTGAGTCAGGCTGCCCGTAGCAAGGGTGCATGAGGGGTGCAGCTCATGCAGGGCGTCTGTAGCACCGGGGCCGCCCGCCCGCAGGCTGGCACCGAGCCCGTGTTTGTTGGGCTCTCGCTGAACCGTGCACCTTCAGCTGGCAGGAAAAGGCCCTTTTTTCAGTCAGGTTTGTTTTGCATCAGCACAAAGGGCCCAGTGAGCACCAGCAGGCAGGCAAGAGGGCAGCAGGGCC